AATTAGTCCTAATTGTATAATGATGGTTACTGTAGTAAAGTAATAGAAGCAAAATAAAACTGCAGCTACAGTAGTTCAAGGTTCATAGAGGAGGAAAAGAATCTGCAGCTGTAATCATGCGACTACTAAAACTGGTATTTCTGCTACAGCTTTGCTTTCCAAAGGCTTTTGCTTACCAAAGGTTATGTTTCCCAATTTTTCTCTCAGTTTTCCCAATTTCTTTCTCGTTTTGAACAGAAATCAAGCGAAAGCTATATTGGAACTTTTCAAGGTCCATTGTCAGTCAGTCGAGAACTCTGCGTGGTAGGCTGTTATGACTATACCCATTTAGTCAAGAGCTCACTTTATTGCAGAATAACAATTCTGTAAATCACTGGTACTCCTTGTGATATAGTAGGCCTTGAGTGCGATACAGTAAGATGTGAAGACTTGAATCTAACGAAGCAATAGGCTTTAGTGAACACACTGAGCCTTATTCATATAGTAATCTACGATATTCCTCATTTCGAACCGGTCCCCGTTGTAGATGTCTTCGCAAATTTTGCATAATGCATCACTTCTGTAGATAAGTGGTTTTGCCAAGGTTTTCGTCCAGTTGAAGTACCTGAATGACAGAGTATATAACTTGACAAAACAATCTTCAAAGCCGTAGTAGCTACCCCATCCTTACCTTGCGTAAAGTTTATCATGCACGCGAAGCTTATTCAAATATTTCCCCAGTTCCCTGATGCTTCCAAAATCATCAAGCGCAATGAAAGTGTCCGACGGAAGTCCCAAATCTAATTTTTAAAAAATCAATTTCATAAGTGGAAGGAAAGGAAAGCTTTGGTATAATACCTTCCAGAATTTTCCTCTTCAAAACAACAGGAACGAGAAGTTGTGACAGACGTAAAAAGTATTTTTCAGTAATATAGTCATTACATATGCTATTTTCGAAAGATATGTAAAAACGATGAGATGCTAGAATAGGTTTTATTTGAATTTTTCTGCATTTTTCTGTAACAATCTGTGTTTATCAAAAATCTCCTCTAACCTATAAGTTCGTCAT